TTATTTATTTATTTATTTATATGCTGTCCTCCTCCCAGAACTAGGAAGCAATGTGGTTTACATGATACAGATTGCAATATAATTTTGTCTCTGCAAAACATAAACAATGTCGGACCGGCAATAACAACAGATGTATATATATACGGTATATATACTGTATTGCTTTTGCCTCTGTAAGTTCCAAAAATTGGATGCTTGAAATCAAATCTATGCAGAAAGGCAAGGAAGGAAGGAAGGAAGGAAGGAAGGCATTTCCAGTGAGCTTTTTAAAAAACAGTTTCTCCAGATCTCCATGTCAGGAAGGAAGGAAGGAAGGAAGGAGTCAGAAAGGCGGTAAAAGAAGGAAGGCAGGAAGGCATTTCCAGTGAGCTTTTTAAAAAACAGTTTCTCCAGATCTCCATGTCACAGAAGAACAAAGATAGGATGGCATTTCCACCATGCCATTTTCACCCAACCACAAATGCTTGAAACTTGCAAACAATGCAGACCTGGATAAAGTTTTGACTACAGTTCACAAAATCTTCCATCCAGCTGGTTGCAGAATCCTGGGCTCTGTCACCCCCCAAAAAGAGGAACATTGCTAGTTTATGGAAATGTGACTGCAGGCTAGTGGAAAAGAAGGAAGTGGAAAACAAGGCCCTCTAAGGAGCAGTTAGACCTGTCAAAGCAGCCGAGCCTCCCTGTAAAAATGCAGTCTACCCCCCACTTGCTATTTAAATGTGACCCAATGCCCTGATGTTCAGAAGTAACAGAGCAGGGTAGGGTGATGATTGGGTTTGTCCAAAGGTACAGGCTTCCCATTCCTCATATTTTGACTTTAAGAAGGCCACAGGAGCCATTGTTACTGGTCCTCTTGGTCTTGCCACCCCTGGCTTATATTCCAAAATAAAAGTATCCTGGTCTTTGGACAGATTGAAACGGAGGTTGGAGGTTACTTTCTTGAGATTTGGACACCCTGCATAGATTGAAAGAAGCATCCGAAGTGGATTTTGATCCACAAAAACTTGATCGGAAATAAATCTGTAAATCTTTAACATGCCACAATATTTTGCTTTTTCTCTCTCTTTTTGCCCCATTTAATTTTGCCAACATGTTCGGGAGTATGTTTCTTGAACCACAGCTTCTCCATGCCCCTTCTGTGGCAAACTCCCCCCACCCATTAAATCAGGAGAGAAGAAATCAGATGCCAAAGACTAAATACATGCAGAAGTCACAGGATTTTAGGCAATGGATTTAATGGTCTGACTCTGCCAAAAACCTCCTTGTGGTCATGCTTAATTACTTTGCTCACTACCAAACAGATCTGCATTTAGAGTCCACCCACCTGCCCCCCTCATTAGATTCATGCCCTGCCTTAAGAGTGCTGTTCTTGGGATTTCTTCATGATGCGGTGTCAGTCAGTTCCGCTGGCTAGAGTCTAACATTGGTTAGTCAGATCAAAAATTGATTCAAAGGGCCTAAACCACTCTAGGTGGGACTAACAATTAGGACTTAGCCCGGGGACTGCAGTTCCCAGCATTCCTCACCAGAGTCTAAGGACAATAGGAGTTGTCGTCCGCTGACATCTGGAGGCCTGCATTTTGCCCATATCTGATTTTGTCCAACACATTGGGGTGGGGTGGGAGAGAGGTCAAAAGAGAGTCTCATTCAAGATTGGCCGGTAAGCATCTCTGAAGAAGCTAGGACCCTGGGAGGGGCCCTTGGGGGTGGGACCATTTTGATTTTCATATTTTTTGCCCTCCATTTGAAGAAACGATGGCCATGGCAGGAGTCCAGCATAAAACCTGGCCGGCGGACTGGACACGGAGTGTGGAGTTTGACAGAGGGCAGGAGATAAAAATTCCTCTTTTAAGAGGTCTTCCTCGCAGCTGTTCCACTGCAGGAATCCACTCCTCCCCGGTAGAGGAGGCTCCGAGCCTGGACGCCTTGCCAGAGATTTGGCTGCCGGCCTTCCGCTGCGGATCCGCAGGGAGCTTCCGTTGAGCCTGGACCCTCCCCAACCCACTCTGCCTTCTGTGAAGCCAGGGGTGGTTTAACTAAAGTTCTCATTTTGAAGGCAAACACTTTTAAAAAGGCTTCGTCCCTGAATTGGTTTCTTATGTTCAAGGCTGAGTCGCGGAAGACGTGAAGCGTGGAGGACAAGGGCCCGTTTGGCATGGATCACGGCGCCTCGTCCCTTGTCGCTCGGTAATCAACACATTTAAATTTCAAACGAGGATGTGTGATGCCAGCTGTAGATTCGGGCCAGATAAGCCGCTCTGACAGTGTTTGCATTTCCTGTTACACCAACTAAAATGTCCCTGGATCTTCTCAATTTTTGGCCCTGTTCCTCAAAAGCTCTCCGAACACCCCAGTTCGTAAACACGATGGGTGCTCTATCCACGGTGACAATAATAACAAAAATAACCACGAGCCTTCAAGTTAATTTTAACGGAGGGTGACCCTTTTCAGGGTCTTCCAGGAAGAGAATATTCAGAAGTGGTTTCCCCTTCCCTTCTTCTGGGCTTGCCCTGGGACGGTGCAGCTGGCCCAAAACCACCCAGGCTGGCTTTTCTCCCAGGAGGGGATTCGAACTCACAACCTTTGGCTGATACCATTCACCCAAAGAGATGCTTGACACCTTCAAGAATCCCAAGGGACCAAATGGGGCATAGTTACCTATAGCCAATAGGGGTTGATGCCCATCATGACGGGTGAGGAGAGGATGGTTGAGACTACAGGCAGATCCGGCTACATCTGGCTCATCTTTTCTCGCATACCTTACACTCCCTCCTGCTCGTTGGGGGGTCAGGGTGGGGGTGCCCCCCTTACACCCACTCTATAGGGCGAGCCCTGTCTGCAGTTGTGTATTGATGATTGCCCCCTATATGTTTGGGAAAGGTGTGGGGGGTAGGGGCCGGCATTTCTGAATTTCTTCCAGCTTTCTCCTGGAGCAATAGTGCCCAACTTCGGGTCTCCAGATGTTCTTGGACTGCAACTCCCAGAAATCCTGGCTAAAGCACAGCAAGAGGTGAAGGCTTCTGGGAGTTGTAGTCTCCAAGAACACTCGGGGACCCAATATTGGGAACCTCTGAAGGAATCTGTGATCAACATCTGAGAACCAACATGTCTACTGCTGGAAAGCTCCGTGGTTTGGGCACCTGGAGACAGAGGTTGGAAATTTGGTTCCTTATTGGGGCTGGACTGGATGATCCATAGGGTCCCTTCCAGCTCTTCAGTTCTGCCAGGATGACGGAACTGGGATGCAGAATTTGCTGAAAGGGTCCCACCACCGTTTCCAGAAGGGAACTGTTTGCCTCCATGATCCCTCTGAATATTTGTCTCCCACAAAGTCACCCGGCTAGCCCAGAGATGCACCCCATCGCTGGGCGCTTCAACAAGGGGGGGCTGTTTCTCTGGACCCACACAATGCGCTATTAAGTTCCTCTCTCTCCCCCCCCTCCGGTTTTCCCTTTCCGATCAGCACCAAGGCCGTCGTGGCGAAGACCAGTGGCAGGACAAAGGGGCTATTATTTTAGAAGATGCTGCTCTTCCCTGGGGCGGGAAGTCTCATGCAAACCCTAGGAAGCGAGGCTTCTGCAGAGGTTCTCGACCCCACGGCAGACCCGCCCCCCCCGAACCATTTCCCTTGAAGGAAGCAAAAGGCAGAACCGACCAAAAACGGATCCTCGTGATTTTATATATGATTCCGATGTGGGATCCTCGCCAGACCGCTATCCAATTACAGACCCCCGTGTTTCTCTCTCTCTCTCCCCCCCGCTTGCCTGGATTCGCACCCTTTGGGACTCCGCCTTCACGACCCCTGGCCTCGCCTGTGTTCTAATACCATTCGATCCGCACGGGAAGCTTCCAGGACCGACAGGACTCTTCGTCAGGAGCGTTTTTAGGATCTGTTTTTTCTGCCCGACTGACACAAATCTGTTAAGATATGCACAATGTGTTGGTTTTCACTTTCCTCCCCCCCCCCCGGGGGCTTTTCCCGAACAAAGGTTCCTCGGCCACCTTGTTCTGCATAGCCAACTCTCGAGCCTCCAAAGACGGATGGGCGCTCTTTCCTTCCCCCCCCCCGGGGGAGGCAACTCTCGAGCCTCCAAGACGGATGAGCGCTGCGCCCAGTGGGGTCCACTACTTCTTAAGGCACCGCACAGGTACGCTTCAGAATCCATGCCTTAGGATCGAAGGGCACCCGCTTCTCCCCCCCCCCTCGTCTCCTGATCCAGCGGGAACCATCAAGAACGAGCAAATGCAATGCAATGCAATGCAAGAACAGAATAGGATAGGATAGAATGCAAAGCAAAGGGAAGACAAATGCAGAGGCGAAGCAGCCAGCAAACCCGGGGCCGCGCTGGGGCCGATCCGGAGCGGGAGCGCGCGCCCCTGCGTAACTTCCTCTCCCGGTCCCCGGACCTCGCCAATGGCCGCGCGCTCCGTGGCCACTCCGAATTGCGCGTCCCGCTGGCGCAGGCGCGCTCTTTTCCCCTCCGCCCCGGGGAGAAAGAGAGAGAAAGAGGAAGGCAGGGCTGAGAAGGAGGAGGCGGCGGAGCAACTCAGGCGGCGGCGAGGAGGAGGGGCGGCCGGTTCAGAAACCTCCGGCGTTGCGCGCGATCCCGACCCGCCCGCGCCGCAGCGCCCTCCGGCTTTGCGCCCGGGCACCTTTTGGCTGACGCGCGTGGCCCTCCTGCGCGCCACCGCCTTCCTTTACTGTGAGTGCCTGCCTGGCTGAGCAGCTATTCCTTCCCCCCCTCCAAAAAAAAACCTGCCCCAGGATCCCCGATCCTTCGCCCTACCGACCTTCCCCCCTCCTTTCCCCAGCAGAGTTTAAATCTGGAGAGGACCAGAATCCACGGTCCTNACCTGACCTGCCCCGGGATCCCCCATCCTTCGCCCCACCTCTCCCCCCATTTCCCCAGCAGAGTTTAAATTTGGAGAGGACCAGAATCCATGGTCCTTTTCCTCGTCTCCACGGGGGCAAAGAGACCCGAAGAGCCGCTGGCTGGGCGGAAAACCGCCTCTTGGGGAAGCCCTCGCCGCCCTGGCTAGCACAGCCTTTGCGAAGCACCTGCCCCGGGATCCCCCATCCTTCGCCCCACCTCTCCCCCCATTTCCCCAGCAGAGTTTAAATTTGGAGAGGACCAGAATCCATGGTCCTTTTCCTCGTCTCCACGGGGGCAAAGAGACCCGAAGAGCCGCTGGCTGGGCGGAAAACCGCCTCTTGGGGAAGCCCTCGCCGCCCTGGCTAGCACAGCCTTTGCGAAGCGGAAAGGTGCCAAGAGGATCACATAGGTAAAATGTGCCAGTGTCATCTCCATGGGAATCGGGGGGCCTTTCTAAAGCCCCCAATCCGGTCTTGCTAGAGAATCTCACGGGTGCAAACAGCCATGGCTGGATTGGAGAGATTTTCTTCTCCCCAGTAGAACCTAGTAAGAAGCTCGGAATTTTCCAGCTGGGCCGGCCCTATAAATGCCAACTGAAACTAGTGTCACCAGGTTCAGATTCTGTGCAGGGTCACCCAGGTTCCCAGCACCCTTTTTATTGAAATGATCCGAAGCTTCAGAACAAGCCGTTCCATGGCAACCTTAGCAAAGTCAGGAGCTGCGTGGATCTGGCCCAGGTGGGACTTGGCAATGGGAGATGGGCCCCTCGTTTTAAAATATTCACTCTTTTCTTTCTGTTCTGTGCCAGGTCCATTTCGGCTAAGGAGTGGCCTTCTTTTTGGGCTTTGCACACACACACATACACACATGCCGATTAGTCCTCACAACAACCCACACACACACACACACACACACACCGATTTGTCCTCAGAACAACCTTGTTAGGTAGGCTAACTGGGTACGAATCCGAGTCTTTGGTACCAAGTCTGGAATCTCAAGTCTCAGGTCTGAGTCCCTATTAAAAACAAAATTTTTGCCCCCCCCAGAAAAAAAGGGAGCAGGTGGCTAGGTTCTGAGTTGTGAGATGAGTCATCAAAAAGCTGAGTCTTGTCCAACTTGACAGCTAACCTGCGACTCAAGTCCCCATCCCTGATTGGAACCTAGGTCATCGTCCAGTGCTCTAACCACTATGCCCGCCCTCCAATTGCATATCAACAGAGGGATATCTCTGAGTGGTTTTTACGTTTGTTTGTTTGTGTGTGTTACTTTGAAACATCTCTTTTTCCTATTGCGGTTGCTGCAGTAGCATGTTAGTAAACTGACTCTGAGATTTGTTTAATAAACTTTAAAAATGTTTGGGTCCTTCTGCAGAATCAGTTGCATTTGTGAGACAGAGAAAAGAGGGCTTCCAGGATCAAAGTCAGCACTACTGAGAGCCTGGAAGGATTCATTTCTGGGGTGCCGTGGCCAGAATCTAGTGTTCCGGGTTCAAAAAAATGAACTTTTCCAAGCTATGTGACTGGTCCACGCTCAACGAGCGCGCTTTGTGGTGGCTGATCCGGCGCTCGCGTGGTATAGCGGATAGAATGACGGTTTAGGCCTTAAGAGACTTGGATTCGAATCCTTGCTTTGACATGGAAACTCGTGGTGGGGGACGGGTAGAACCCTTCCTTGCACATCTCACCTGTCTTGAAAGCTCAATTCGGATTTCCATAAGTTGGAAGTGAATGGATGGTGCTTAAAAAAGCCAGCACAAATCTTTCGCTTTGGTAACATTTGAAATGACGGATTGCGGAAAGGAAGCCAGCATTAATATTCAATTAAAAGTGGGCTGAAATGTCCAGGTTTTGAAGGCTTATTCCCCCCACAGACTAATTTCAGTAACTGGAGTCCTTCCAAAATCTTTGGTGGCCAATTTAAAGCCATTGCCAGTAGCTGTTAATTAGCTCCCTGAAATCAAGAAACCAATGATTTTGCAACCATCTCGACTCAACCGCAGATTTTTTAGCCCTTGACTCCTTTGGGCCAGATCCTTCAGCCCCTCTCCCACGCACCGGCCACGCTGAGAAATAAGAAAAGACCGTCATTTACACTGGCATTTGAGGATGATTTTCGCCTGTGGGGTAGAATAGCTTTTGTTCGGGTTTTTTTCAGACAAGGTAGAGAGTTTTTGTCTGACTGTGGCTGTGCGGAAATGTCCGTGCGCTAAAAAAAAAAGAAGGTTGGCTTTTCCTGGTGAACTTTGGACTGAACTCAATTTTTCCATGTGGTTTCATCTTTAAATGCAAATGAAGAATGATTTCTTTAAAAAAAACTTTTGTTGTTTTAAAAAGAGGCAAAGGGGGGGAGGGAAAAGAAGAGGAGGAGAAATTTGTGACCGGAAAGTTTTGGATTTCGTCCCTTTGACCCTTTTTTTAAAAAAATACAGCATAAGGGACAGAATTTGTCCTTTCTTGTATCATGAGCAGTTCTAATGGGCTGGGAGGCTGAGAGGTTGAGGAGGAGATGGAACCTAAGAATTTCTGCTCTTCTGGATTTGCCCAGAACATTATGGAGTCTTTGCATTGTGAAATCTGTGTGCTAGGCATAAAATCTCCAGATTTTTTGGACTACAAAGTCCATGATCCTCCATTCTGGGAGTTCTGCGTGAGAAACCCACACCAACGGATACTTAAAGGTGGCTCGCCTGGAGAACAGGGCCTAGCTGAGAAGGCTTTGTGGTCTCAGGCTTGGAAAGGAAGCTCCCAGTAGCATGGAGGGTGATGGGATTTGTAGTCCAAAAATCTGAAATGCCTTGGTTACTGTGTGCCTGTTAGGAGATATTATCCCATCTCAAATCCTCTGCAAGATCATCTAGAACTCCACGGACAGAATGGTGTAAGAGCAATGCCATAAACCCCAGCGCTGAATTGCCACTAATTAACAAGTCACTGCTTCTGTTTCTGGCCTGGGACTGTGACACTGAAATTGACACGATTGCTCTTGATACCAGCCGAAGGAAGCGACAGAAACCAGTCCCGTTAGGAACAGGCAGGGTGGGCCAGAATCCCGATCGTGTCTGATTTTGGAAGCTGAGCGGAGAGTCATGCCTGGGGAGGGACTCAGATGGAGGACCACCAGGAAAAGAAGTGTGGGTAGCGTTAGGGAAGAACATCCAGAGGTGGTTTGAACCTCCAGAGAGAACACCCAAGCGTTCAGTGGTTAATGTGATTTAACTGATAGGTTAACATCTTCCTGTACAGTAAATAATAATCATCTTATGCTTCCAAGTCAGTTCTGATTCATGGCGACCCTTTTGAGTGTTTTCCAAGCAGAGAATATAGTAGGACCCCCATATTCACAGGGGAAAGGTTCCAGCCCCCCATGGATACTGAAAAATGTGGATTATAACAAATAATGTTTTAATAGCGAACTCTATACATAGCATGGTCTTTTTAGTGTCCAGTTCTAGGAACTTCATTTTTAGAAATATGTATTTCTAGGATTTTTCTTTTAATGTTTCAAACCATGGATAAGTGAATCAGTGGATATGGATCCCGTGGATACGGGGGCCCTCCTGTGGGCAGAAGTGCCCTTCTTCTGCGGCTTGCCCATGGCCACAAAATCTGGCTCTTCTCCCAGGAGGGCAAGTGGAGAATCAAACTCCCAAACTCTCCCAAACTCCCTGAGTGATGCATCCAGAAAAGGGAGAGATCTTTATCCAACTTGGACCTTCGTTTTAAAGCATGCACCCTTCGTTATGCCAAGCTGCATGTAAATACAGTGCAACCCTCTTTCTGCTTTCCTACTTCTATCTGGTTGTATTCCCCCCTCTTTTTCTCTGTCCCGTGTTTATCTTTTGTGTTTGAGGCAGGAGGTCTAATTTTCCCCAACTGATGAGTAGTTTTAGATGGCAGGGCAATAATTTTGAGGTAGCTTTTGATTAACACTGGGAGAAACATTCCGTAGCAAATCACAGCATTAATCAAGATAAATGAGGTTGCCGAGGGAGCGTCCCGTCGTCCCTCCATCGAAGAAGTGGATTTTTTTTATTTTTAAACAAAGTGGGCATATTTAAAGGGGCGTGTCCGGGCCTGAGGAAAAGCTCCAGGTTCCCTTTGGATTTCTTGATAGGCCGGATCTTCCCCTAGAAAGCCAACGAATGTCGGCTTCTTGGCAGGTTGGCCTGGGGCAGAGAAGCCTTTCCTCAAGGGGGGGGGTAGCTTAAGAAGTTTAAAAAGATGCCTCTCTTGGTTTCTCTCTCCTGACAGCCCACGAAGCCGTCAGCCGGACTGAAGCCATCTTTCTCGGTCCATCAGATAAAATTCTGCTCAAATTAATCTGCAAAGATTCGCATAGGACACAAAGATTCGTGTCTTTGTTTTTTAAAGCCGTCTGCTCTGAGGCTGCCCTGTGGAGTCTCGGTGTGAATCACTGGGAATTCCTGGAAGGCAAGGGCCTCCTGGGTTCGAGGGCGGGCAGGCCTTTTTCATTTGGGCAGCCCCCAATCATTAAACTTTAGCGAGTTGGTCTATCTTGTATTTGGCCCTTCCTCTTTTCCTGCTGCCTTCCACCTTTCCCAGCATGAGGGTCTTTTCCAGAGAATCCTGATTTCTCAGGATGGGCCCAAAGCAGGACCAGATTTAGCATTTTTTTGCCTCCAGAGAGAGTTCAGATTTGATTCTACCCCCAACTTCTGGCTCCACCTCCGGAGACCTACACCACAGAGCTATCCAGCAGTTCTCTTGAATCGATCTGTCACACATTAACACCCCATTCCAATTTTATTTTCCTTGTAGCTGTTGCTTTCCTGGTGGCTTACCATCAAAACAAAGCCCTTATTGGAGAGCGGGGACTTCTGCCTTGCCGGCTTTACTTGGAGAGCGTCAAGCGCCACTTCAAAGGGAAGATCTACTGGGACGCCTTAAGCTACGCTCCGACACTCTTCTGGATCGTTCCCAGGTCTAGCGTGGATGGGGCCCTGGATGCCTTTGCTCTGGCCGGCTTGGCCATCTCGCTGTTCGTCTTGGTGGCTGGCTGTGCCAACATGATCCTCATGGCTCTTCTGTGGCTGCTCTACCTCTCACTAGTTAACGTGGGACAGATCTGGTAAGGGCGCGGTTATGCTGTTGAAATAAATCAGGGGATGGGTCGGGGTTTTAAAATTCAGTCTAAAGCCTAAATCACATGGTTTTTGTGTCAGTGTGTGCATCTTCTTGGGAAAACGTTTGATTCGTTTTTAAACTGTGTCGTATATCAGGCAAGGGGAATACACGAGCTCTTAGAATTGTTGCCTTTGGGGGGCTTTCTCCTGCACCCGCCTGCCCCTCGCTCGGTTTGCCTCCCGCAGCCATGAGTCACTGATCCTCTGGTGCTACGTTGAACGTTTGAACTTTTTGAAAAATTCTTGCCATCTCATATAGCGCTAGCTCAGTCTGACAGATTGGAAAATAAAATAACACAGAAGTTTCCCTGCAGCCTGACACATGTGTAGGGAGACAAATCTCTCTCTCTCTTTCTCTCATACACACACACAGGCACACAGGGGTAAGGAGAAAGAGCAAGGAAGCCCGGGTTGAAACTGACCAGAGACGGTGACTAGATTTGTGAAGGAGGGAGACATGGAGTAATCATCATGTAGTCACCTTT